GGGACTTCTGCAGCTAAACCTTTATTTTTTTCCCTTGATTTCTTTCTTGCTCTTTACCAAAAGAAATCCTTAGCCCCTGCTGGGTTGATCTGCTATAATAATTATTATTGTGTTCTTTAAACAACCTTTGTATATTAGTCATCAAGCCACAGAGTGTCAGAGGAGGAAACCAAGGCCCAGAAAGGTTGCACTTCCAAACCTGGGCTGCACTTCTATTGGAGTTTAATAACTCAGTGATTCTTCAGTAGGTGTGAATGTGAGCTTTGATAACATTTTGAAGGTAAGCAAGGGACAGTGTCTATCTGGAAGTAAATTCCTACTGCTGCCTTGAAACACTGGATCTCTACCATCTATCCAGGCCTAAGCTAGTACAGATTCTCATTTTAGACAAAGCTGGAGGGTTGAGAGGTGGAAAGAGATCTAATCTAGGTAAATATTCTGGGAAGGACAGCCCAGTATGTGGACACCCCTCTCTGGGGTACTGGGGTCAGACTCACTCAACTGAAAATGCTCCTTCTCTCTTGCAGTCACCAGACCTCTCAGCTTTAAAGCCCTCACAGTGTTCACTCAGCCCTCCTGGTTTGGGCTTGCAGCTGAATCCCCCCTGACCTCGAGATCACTCCCTTTGGCTCAACCCATGCTTCAGTTCGGAACCGCCCTCTTCTGTAGTCCTTATATGGAGAGGACAGCGAAATGGGTAAAACTGGAGACAAGCGATCACAAAAGCAAATGTTTATTCATTTTTTTCATTTAGCAAATGTTTACAGTGACGTACAAGGCACCATTCTGAGGGCAGTCTTCTTAATAACTACAACATACTGAATGCTTACTAGGTGCCAGGCATGGCTTTAAGTGTGTGTGTGTATATATGTATATATATAGAACTCTCACAACAAACATTAGATTGGCTCTTTTTTTAATTGCCATTTTACATATGAACAAGCTGAGCAGTTAACTATGCTTTAACCGCTCAAAGCAGTTAACTATGAGCAGTTGAATGACAGAATGTTAAGTGGCAGAGCTGAAATATGAACCCAGGTGGTCTAGCTTCAGAACTTTGTATCCTTTTTTTTTTTAATAGAGGTACTAGAGATTAAACCCAGCATGCTAAGCATGCACTCTACCACTGAGCTGTGCTCTCTCCCAGAGCTTTATATTCTTAACCATACATCATGCTGATAGTGTGTCCTAACCCAATGTCTACTTAGGTCACCTCCGTCACCTTTTTAAAAAAACTAAATTTAACAAATATTTGCTGGTAATGACAAGGTATCTGGACATATGCTAGGTGCTAAGAATGCAAGTACAAATAAGACAGGAAGGACTATTCTCTACAGAAGCTCACGCATTAGTAGGATAATAATAAAAAGAGCCATCATGTGCCAATGTTGGTGGTCTATAATTTACTTTAAAATACTTCAGCTAGACAGTGTAATAAATGAGTTATCTTTAGTCAGCATTCTAGGAATGTCTAATAATTATCCAAATCAGGCGTAGATACTCTAGGGGCAGTCATCTGACAGTTCATCAAAAACTCACAGTCAGAGGCAGCTTCTGTAATCACTTCAATCCTCCTCTTGTCCCCACGTCCCCATCTCAACCCTCAGACCCTGAGAAGATTTTACAGCTACAGATTCTAAACCCAAGGGCCCCAGAAATTCGATTTTAACTCATTTGCTATGGGCTTAGTTTTGCATTTTATATTATATATTTATACTATATATATTATACATATTTACTTTTAAACTTTTAAATTATGGAACATTTCAAACACATACAGAATTAAAAAGACAGAATATTGCATCTCTATGTACCCATCAACCAGATTCAATAATTATAAACTTTCTTGGCTCTCTTGTTTTGTCTATGGCATTGGTATTTTAAAAAAAATTCTCAGTATATTTTAATATGCAGCCAGGGTTGAGAATCACTGCTCTAAACAAATAATTACACTGGGGCCACTGCAAACATAGAATATGTATCAAGCATAGTGGGAGTGGGGAAGGGGATGATGAACTCCGACCACTGAGAGAAAAGCGGGAGGGCTTTCGTAACTCCTCCCTAGATCCCAGGGTGTCCAGGGCTAACCGGTCCCAGTGGCAGCTCTGACATCTGGGACCCCAGCAGAGGTACTTCTCTAGCTGGACCCGAGGATTCAGGCTGGGGGCTGGAATCACGTGTCCACACACAAAAAATGAAGTCCTTCTCAACTATATATATGTATATATATATATAGTTGCATTAAGGTAGGATTTATTAGGTTAAAGTAATAGTGTAAACATGAGCATTTCAAAAAATATGTTTGTGATGAAGAAAGCACAGCCATTAAAATAATTTAGGAGCTACTGGAAGAGTGAAAAGGAGAGAAACAGAAGGGGAGTCATGAATAATGAGGAATCAGGTTACAAGAAACAAAATTCAGGGAAAAGAGAAGAAACCAAATTAGAGAGAAGAAGGAGTCACCAGTGTTTTCCTCTCAGATACTTCAGGGAGGATCAGGTATGAAGGCCAACTGTCCAGGGGCAGGAGCTGGAGGGCACCAGGCCTGATCTCCTCAGTGGGGCCTAGAAAAACCAGACAGAAAGGACCTTCTTCTGACTCGTCACACACAAGTCAAAAAGAAACTGTTCTGGCTTGAATAGTAGACACAAGTAAAAGAAAACTGGAAAGCAGAACTAGAAGTCTCTAAAGTCCCAAGTGTTAATCCGATCCATGTTGAAATGGGTAGCCGTTGAGTTTAACAAAGTTCCAACAACCACTGTGGAAACTGGGTTCTCAAAAAACTAAAACTAAGACTACCATTCAACCCTAGCAATTCCACTCCTAGGTGTATATACAAATAAAACAAAAACACTAATTTGAATACATACGTGCACCCCAGTGTTCACAGCAGTATTATTTACAATTGCCAAGATATGGAAGCAACCTAAATGTCCATCAACAGATGAATGGATAAAGAAGGTGTGGTGTGTGCACACACACACACACATACGTACACACAATGGAATACTACACAGCCACAAAAAGAATGAAATTTTGCCAGTTGTAACATGGATGGACCTGAGGGCATTATGCTAAGTGAAATAAGTCTGATAGAGAAAGACAAATACTGTATATCACTTATACGTGGAATCCAAAAAACACAACAAACTAGTGAATATAATGAAAAAGAAGCAGATTCACAGATATAGAGAACAAGCTAGTGGTTACCAGTGAGGAGCAGGAAGTGGGCAGGGGCACAGTAAGGGTAGGAGATAAAGAACAAACTATTATGTATAAAATAAGCTACAAAGATATATTGTACAACATGGGGAATATAGTCAATATTTTATAATAACTACAAATGGATTATAACCTTTAAAAATTGTGAATCATTGTCTTATACACCTGTAATTTATATATGTTGTATATCAACTATACTTCAATTTAAAAAAAAGAGCTCTAACAATTATCACCGAAATGCCAGACAGGTAGCACCATGTGTGGTGCAGGGACCAACACCGTAAGAAAGAATCCATTCAGCCCCTCGGTGTCTAGAGAGGGAGTCTGGAAGGAGTGGAGGGCTAAGGGAGGTGGCCCCAGGGGATCCGAGGGTCATTCAGGGGCAGGTTATGCTGACAGAGCTGGAGGGAAATGGCCAGGCTGTGGGAAGAGAGGGGACATGTGTACTAGACTTGAGGGATGAATAAGGTTCAGGGCTGACGGGAGGGACAGAGGGCAATTCCAGGCCATTGGCAGCTGGCAGTTGCTGTCATGTGCTGTGCAGAGGAGGACTCATAGAAAGGCTCACGTCAGAGAAGTGAACCAAAAGTGGAATAAAATCCTGTGATCTTCAGGGAAATTTCTGCGTGGGAGACACGTGTCAGCATATAAATTCAATGACAATTAGAAGTGAAACTATTGACAGCATTGCTCACACTTCTTCAGTCATCAGGATTTGCATATAAAGGAAACCAGGGTGTCTGGAATATAAGAGGAAGAGGGTGCAGAACCTTTAAGGTGAACTCAACTCTCTTCCCAGGGTCTCTCTCAGGTGTGTCTGTCTCTCTGTTCTGTTGCCATAACATGTCCTAGTCCTGTACCTGACAACCCACATGCCATTTCAGTGGCCTCAATTGTTCTCCTAGCTTTGTTCCCTCTAATCAAGTCCCTCAGAACATGAATGTCTGGGAAAGAGCTAGGCTCTACCAGACCCTGTGGTGGGCACTGAACGCAATCTCCCTCCACACTGCTTTGAGAGCACCATGTCCCTGCTCATGTTGCACTGCATCTTGATTGGAGCTCAGATGTCTCAGCCGGTCACTGAGAGCCATTGCTTCCCTTCTGCAAGCATGCCTTCCTTGTCCCTCCAGCCTGCAGACCTTGACTCATGTGTATCTTCTCCTTGGATTGCTTCTACCTTGCCTACCTCTCTCTGTCTTTTAAGGCACAGCTCAGTGTCAACTTCTTCATGAACCTGTCCTGATCCCAGAAATGGGAAGTGACATCTGCTGAACTTCGGTAGCTCTTGTAGTGGTTTCACATTCGTGGAAGGCTTGTCACAATGGAGTGGCATAGTGCTTATCTGTATGTGTGCCAGGGATCCAGCTTCACCTTATAGTGGTTAAGGCCTTGGTGGTGATGGAGGAGAGTGCCTCTTCCTCATGTGTCTTGTTTTCTAGTTCTGGATATCCTTCAAGGGCAGGGACCATGAATGATTCACCCAGCAAAGCATGTGGTATCCAGAGTAGTGTTTGACAGCAGTGGATATTTAGTAAGTATTTATGCGATAAGAGAGTATTTCCTGTCCTCTCCTTAGAGCAAATCTGACTATGTGTCAGGCTTTATTCCTGTATGAAATTATAACCCAGCGATTTTCTTTTCACATGTGTGGATCTCCAGTGTGGGATTATTATAAGAGCTTTACAAATCCATCATCATGTCAAGAATTTTCTGTAGACTGAGTAAATACAATGCTTTATACATATATGTAATGCTTTGTTTCAAATTTATAGAGATACTAACGTGGTTAAATTTTTTAATCTATGACTTATCTATAACCCTTATTAGAATCCAGATGTCTGCCGTTACATATGACGTTACATAACAAAAGCACAACTTCTATCATGTAAGGTCTGATCCTCTTAAAAATAAACAAACACATTAAAAAAGTCCCCATCCTGAGGAATCTCTGCTATGTACCACTATGTATGTGTGTATAACAACAGCTCTGCCTGGGTGATTCTCCAGCTTGGGGTGTGGTCCCACACCCAAGGTAACATTGAGTCTCAATTTACAATGTACAGTGAGCTTTTTTGTTGTGTGTTGCTTCATTCACTCCCTACAACAGCCCTCAAAGATTAACAGGAGACTTATTGGATTTCTCAGGATGACAAGGGGCTTCTATTGTGATATGTACATGGGAGAGACAGATATCAAACAAGAAAGAAAATAAATACACAGTGTAATTTTAGAAAAAAAATGAGGAAAGAACAAAAGAGCTATATGGGACACACCGTACTCCCATGCATGTAATTAGAATCCTAGAAAGAGAGGAAAGAAAAAGTAGAGCTCTGAAGAAAGTCCAATCAAGGCAAGAAGACAAAGGGTGATGGTGAGGTGAGGTGGGTATCTTAGCTGGGATGGTGACATTGAGCTGAGAACTGAATGACTGGAAGAAGTCAGCCAGGAAAAGGTATGATTGAAAACAATGCAGAGAGAAGGAAAAACTGCAAAGGCTCTGATATAGAAAGGAACTGGGTATGTGTGAGGAGCACCCAAAAGTCTAGTGTGGCTGAAACATGATGAGTGAGAAAGTGAGCAAAGTATGGTTGGACAGCTAGGCAGGTGGGGCCTTGTGGGTCATAAGTGGCTAAAAGAGTAGCCTTCATAAAACATTCCTTGTATTCACCCACATTTCCCAGTCCCTTTAATCATCAAAGCACAGAGTTGATTATTAAGTATGTCCATGTGACTAGCTCTAGTCAACGGACTGTGGGCAGAAGTGATTTGTGTCATTTCTGACACAAATTCAGTCAGCACAGGAATGTCAAGCTGTTTCTTTTTTCAAGTGACAGAGCCAGGAGGTCAAAGTAGGTTGAATCATTGAGTTGCAACATGAAGACAGTTGCTCTGATGAGTCATGCAGATTCTCAGCAGACTTTAAGTAAAAGTGATAAATCTGTGTGCTATTAAGTAATGACAAACTGATTCTAACCAATATCACAGTAAGAAATTTAATTTATTTTAAGTGTAATAGGAAGTTATTTGAAATTTTTAGCAAGACAGTGAAGAGATCATATATATGTTTAAATGATCACTTTGTGTGGAATAGATTATGGGGACGAGGGACAGGAGAAATTAGGAGCCAATTATAAATCTATTGAAGTTAATCTAAGTATGAAATAATGGTGGCTTGAAATTAGTGGTGGCAGTGGGGGTGTTGAGTTGAATTTGGGGTATATTGTGAAGACAGAGCTAACAAGACTGATGGAAAGACTCCAAGGTTTTGGGCCTGGGCTAGTGAGTGGAGTAGAAGAGAGAGAGAACAGAGGTCAAGTGGTGAGGTGGGAATGAAGAGTTATAAAACATTTTTGGTTTAAAGAACTCTTCCAAAGGACAGAGGGAGAGAGAGAGAGCAACTGCTTCCCAACTCCTTTCACAAAGTCAGCATAACGTTGATATTAAAACCTGACAATTATATGGTAAGATACATGGATGTAAAAGTCCTAAACAAAATATTTACAAATCAAGTTCACAGATACATCAAGAGGAAAATACATCATCATAAAACTGGATTTGTTCCAGGGATGCAAGTTTGTTTTAACATTCACATATCTATTAATGTACTTCATTACAGAATAAGGAAGAAAAATACACTCAATTAATGCAGAAAATAATTGATAAAATTCAGTACTCATTCATAATTTTAAAAAACCCTCAAGCAAATTAGGAATAGAAATTCTTTAATCTGATAGGAGTATTATAAAAATCTAATAGCACATGTTATACTTGATGGTGAAATATTGAAAACATTTTCCTTAAGGTCAGGTATGAGAGAAGGATGTCCTCATCATCCCTGCTATCCATCCATCCCTGTACTAGAGGTCCTACTCAGAGCGACAAGGTGCCAAAAGAAGGAGAAGGAGGAGGAGGTGGGGAGGGGGAGGAGGAGGACGGGACAGGGAAATGTATAGGTCAGGAAGGAAGAAATAAAGCTATCATTATTTACAGAGGATGTGAACATATTTATGGAAAATCTTGAACACTCTATGGATTAGTGATTAGAATTGATAAGTGAATTTATCAAAAACTCTGGATGGAAGTTGAAGATATAAAAATCCATTATTTTTCTGTATGCCAGTAATAAAATATTAGAATGTAAAAAAAATTAAACAATAGTATTTACAATAGCATCAAATTTACCAAATACCTAGAAATAATTCTAACAAAATCTGTGCAAGGACATCTTCATAATAAACTACAAAACACTATGGAAAGAAAATTTTAAAAACCAAAATAAATTAAGTGCTATACTATGTTCATATATTGAAAAAATCAATATTATAAAGATATCAACTCTTTACCAACCTAATCCACAGTGTGAATATGATTCTAATAATCCTAGCAGAGTTTATATTTTTGTGGAAAGTAACAAGCTAATTCTAAAATTTATACGGAAATACAAAGGGAAAGGCCAAGAATAGCCAAGACTTGAAGAAGAATGAAGTTTGAAGATCAACAGATATCAAAACTTATAAAGCTACAATAATTACAACCAGGTGGTATTGTCAACAGGTAGAAAAATAGACTAAAAGAACAGAAGATCTAGCAGACCTACGAATATATGGATATTTGATTTATGACAAAGGGGTCATTGAACACTAGTGGGGATAGGACAATCCATTCAATAAGTAGTGCTACCTATTGGATATTCACTAGAAAATAAAAGATTTGATCCTTAGTCCATCCTATACACAAAAATCAAATCCAGATTGCTTAGCTCTAACTGTGAAATGTAAAACGATAAAACATCTAGAAGGTAACATAGAATATCTCCATGGGAGGAAAAGCTTTCTTAAACATGACACAGAAAGCAATAATGATGGAGGAAGAGACTGATAAATTACTGCATTGAAATTAAGAACTTATGTTCATCAGAAGACACCATTTAGAGAAAAAAAGAAGTCACAAATTGGGAGAATACATTTGAATACATAGAAGCAACAAAAAACTTTAAACCTGAATATTTAAAGAATTCCTTGAAGTGAATGAGAAGAGCATACAAACAAACAGAGAAACAGACAAGAACTAGAATAGACACTTCACAATAGAGGATATCTATATGGCTAATAAAACAGAAAAAGGTACTCAACCTTATTCTTCATCAGGGAGGTGAAGATTAAAGCCACACTGATATGCCACTGTATACACCCAAAGGGCTAAAATGAAGGGAAAAAAAAAAAGACAATACCAACTGTTGGAGAGGTTGAGAAGCAACCAGAACACTCAGACACTGCTCGTGGGAATATTAACTGGTACAATCACTTAGGAAAACTGACAGTATGTACTATAGTTGAACATATATATGCATACCCAGTGCCTCAGTAATTCCAGCCCTAAGTATATACCCCCAAAATGTATGTGTATGTGTACCAAAAGATAAGTTCAAGAATGTTCATAGCCGTGCTATTCATAATTGCCCCAAGCTAGAAGCTACCCAAATGCTCATCAGTGGTAGAATGGATAAATAGATTGTGGGATAGTCATACAACAGAGTCCTACACAGCAACAAAATGAACAGACTGCTGAGAGAGCAAGAGAAGCCCAAGGATCTCCAGCTGTTCCAGCCCTCCTCTGTCTGAGGCTTCCCAGCCTGGGCCCCAGACACACGCGTGAAGAAGACTTCGAGGTGATTCTCACCATAGCCACTGTCTGAATGCAATAGTAGGAGAAACCTTGAGTGAGAAGGGCCCAGATGAGCCCAATCCAGCCCCACATTCATAAGCAAAACATATTACTGTGGCAATTTTGAGTCACTGCTTTAGGGATAAACGTGGTACAGCGATAGGTAACCATATGGAAGTATTTAGGGGAAAAATAAAATAGAATATGTTATATTTGTAAATCTACTTTAAAATATCTAAGGAAATTTAATGAAATAAATTTGTAACAATCCCTCTAAAAACTATTGTTTAATATTAGGATCATAAATAGAGCAAAAGATTTGTAAGTTGAACGTAAAGCTTAAGGGCAAACTAGGTTCTAAAATTTCTACTTCCTTAAGCTGACTCTTAATTGAAACAAATTTAAATGAACAAAACAGGACAAAAACAGTGAAAACTTCTTAGATAGCTGACTTCATTGATCCTTTCAGAAAATTGAAAGAAACAACATAGGGAAAGGAAATGAGTGATTTATGGAGTGCTGACTAGGTGTCATACCACATCCTAGGTGCTTTACTTAAATCGACTCATGGAATCCTCACAACCCTGTGAAGTGGGTTTTGTAATCCCCACTTTACAGATGATGCTCAGCGAGGCTATGTAACTTGCCCAAGATCCTGCAGTTAGTAAAGGAAAGAATCTGTGCTTTTGCGATTTTGGATGCCTTCTCCAGGAAGGAAGGCTGGTGAAGGCACAGTTCTCGAAGTCACTCAGGGCCCTTGGTGTGGCTGCAGTGCCGGAATCTTCTGTGTCTGCTCTGACCTCGCCTGCGAGCCGGCCAGTGGGTGAGAAGGAGGGTGTGCACACAAGTGACCTTCCTGGGAAGATGACGTGGCCAGGGGATTGTCCTTTGATCCTTACAGTTCAGGAGTCTGGGTTGGAGCCAAGGGGGCCTGTCCCCTGGACATAACTTGAGAGTAGCTCTGGAGAGGAGTTCTAGAAGCTGTGGGAAGACAGAGGAAGGATTTCAGCACCGTGGCTCTGCATACCTTGCCTAACTTCACAGTTCTTCTCAGGGTTTTTTTCCCCTCTACCAGTTCCCAATGTTTTAACTGTACCCAAAGCCTAACACGATAGGGGCAGTTGTATATTTGAATCATTTCATTCTAGAATCTTAGCACGAGTCCACTTTAAAGTTATACAGTCCAACCCTCTCATTTTACAGGAGAAGAGACCAGGAGATCAGCTTCGGTTGCCTCCTGTGAAAATTCTGTAGAACTCTACTTCCTGTCTAACACTACAGAATGAGCTTTTTTTTTTTTTTAATCTGTATAGAAAACTGGTGAGTTTTATCAAATCCCTGTCTTTAATTTTCACAAGAGAGGACTAGGTAAATGAGGTCTGTAAAACAGAAGTAGGAACAACCTGGATGGGCCCTAATGGAGGCTGCTGTGATCCCGAGGGTGGGGAGGGTCTAACTCACCTGCCTGAACCTGGGGCCTGGGCAGGTGGAGTAGAGCTACCATGTAGAGGCCCAGAACCTGAGACCCCAGGCAGCTCCTGCCACGCCACCTTCAAGGGCAAGTCTTCTGCCTCAGGAGTCTTTCTAGTAGTTCTGGGAGAAAAGTGCTGTTTAACAACACTGACAGCTAGTAAAGCACCTTAGAGCCTGAATATAGTGTGACAGTGGTCTGTCTCCCTCTGGCAAATAAAAGAAAACAGATGAAGGTCTGGCCATCACTTAGTTGTTCAGGGGCCTGGGAGCTAGTGTGTGTTTTCTTTGGACCGCCACCATTTTGCTGTTCCTTTTGTTGTCAGAGGATCCTGCCAGCTCCCAGCTTCCCTGGAAAGCCAGACTGGAGGAAATAAGGGGAGAAATTATGTATCTCAGAGAGGGAGAAAGAGAAAGAGAGAGGAGAGAGAGAGAGAGAATTTGCTAAATATTCTACACAGAACAGAATTTTAAAATACCCTATAAACTAGCACTTTACAACTTACTTATTGCCTTTATATACTTTATCTCAATTACTCCTCGCAGCAACCTGGTAAAGTAGACAGAAGCTACCTGTCTAATTATCAGTAGGTATTAAATATCTATGAGACTACTAGCCCTATTCTGCAGAGGAGGAACTGCTCTTGATGGTGGTTAAGTGGCAGGACTAGAGAGTCAGATCTTAGAATCACAGAATCATAGCATCACAGAGTTAGAAGACACCTTAATAGCAATAACCCAAGGCATTCTTCTCTCAGTGCCCAAATCATCTTTAAAAATCTCTGAGAATATTTCTTCTGGTCCCTGCTTGAACTCTTCCAGTGATGAGTAACTCAGTACTCTTTGAGGGGATCCATTATTAATACTGAACTGAAATCCTTTTCTTTACAGCTTTCAGCTCTTAATTCACTTCTGTCCCCAGGAACTACACCAAATGAGGGGAAATTGTAATTTGCATTTTTTTTCAAAATTTGAAACTATTATTGTTGTCCATCTCTTGTGGATTAAGCATCTTCAGTTCTTTCAACTGTTACTCATGTTTGCTCATAATGTGATTACCTGGCACAGTGCCTAAAATATATAGTAGATACTCAGTAATATGTTTTTTGAAATGGTTCTCTGGCCCTTGCTACTATGTCCTGGTCCTGGCCTCTTTCCCTGACCACAATTAGCCTCCATGTTGTAATCTGTTTCTCATTTGTTTGTTTATTTAAATAATAAAGAGGAAGGAAACATATATATAGTCTTTACTTTCAAACCACAGAGGAGTCTTCAGAACAACTTGAAAACCTAACCAAAATTGGCCAAGTTTCAGGCAGCTTTCAATTATTTTGTGATCATGAACTCATTATCTGACTTAACTGATCACTTCAGAGATGCATTCATTGAGTATCTCCTATAAGGAAGACATCACATGGAGCATTGTGGAGCACAGAATTAGCCCGAGAGATTCTCATGAAGGCAGGGTTAATGTGGGGTCTACCTGTAAGACCCTATGTGAATACATTATCCTGCAGTGCTGCTTTGCAATTCAAAGTAGCAGCACCCATTTGTGGCGCAATTCCGGCCACCACCAGACTGAAAATTCTGCTCTCTTCAGAAAAGAGCTCCAATAGAAGCTCTGACTATTTTTAGTTGGTCCTAAATTGGATTGGTATGAGGGAAAAGCACTGGTGTCAGTGTGATGAAACTGTCGTTCCCAACAATGCCTAAGTCAGCCAGTTTCGTGCCTCTTATGTAAGTGCTGGGCCGGGATGAATAGCAATGAGCTTACACAGTTTTGGAACCTGAAGAGCAAGGGACTAGCTGGTGAACTGTGCCCTGCTCTAGAAGGGAAATGACAGTGAACTGCTGCCAATCATGAGGAACTGTGCTTGTTTATTACGGTAATAACCCTAAAGGAAGTTTGATGGCAAATAAATCAAACCAAACATCCCAAAAAACAATTCCAGAAAAGGGTCTCTGGGTTAAATTATCCCATTATCATAGACTAAATTGACAGCTCTCTGAAATTTGGCCAGTTTGATCATGTTTTCAAATTGTTCTGAAAACCGCGTGGAAAAAAAACAATGTGTTTTTTCCTTTCTCTCTATTACTTAAACAAACATTTAAAAACCTAGTTCCTTTACACTGCAAATACCAGTACTTTAGAAAATGAGTTACTTTAACAGTTTTCTCATCTTGAGCTTCAGAAAAGGCTGAATCTGGAAAGAAGCCTTTCACGCGATGTTAAGGGTGGTGTGTTAGGGGTGGAAGACCTAGGAGACTGAGTCATGACCTCCTTGCCATGAACATCTGCATTGTCTTCATGTGGTAGATGATGCCCTTCACAGGTACAGAATGGAAGGAACTCCTAGTCAAGCGGGACCCACCACCCAGCAGAGAGGAGGACAATCCCAAGTCACAAGAGAAATAGTGAAATACAGCAGAAAGTTCTTGCTGGAAGACACACTGATGTCCTGGGACTTGCGTCCATTATACTGTTGACTGACTGCTTCTTTTCAGTCCTCTGAACAGCTCATACTTTCCCTTCTCACATAAACATAAGGGGGCCTTTGGGGGCCAGCTGGGCCAACACACTCACACGAGGAAAGTGAGGTTCAGTGAAGTTGTATGGTTTGCTAACAGTAGCAGAGCCAGACATAGCAGCCAGGACTTTGGGCTCCTGGTGGGGGTCTCTTTCTTGTTTACCGTGCTGCCTGCCTCTTAACTTTCAGGAAAACTCGTGCATGAAGTATGTAGCCACCTAAAGCCAGGAATTTTTATACCTTCACTTGAACAGTTTTCTTTAGAGGCAGAGGGAGAGGTACTAATCTTGAAAGAGTCAGGATTAAAAACTAAGTTGGGGGTACAAGGTTGCTTAGGCAGAAGAGAGAGAGTATGACAGGAAGTGGGGGGAGAGAGAAGAAGGCAACAGAAAGATAAATACACAAACAATAAAATGGGGAAGATGTGGAAGACAAATACGGATTTGAGAAATTAACTGAGAAGAAGAAGAAATGGAGCAGGAAACTGAGGCAACCAAGGACTGCGCAGAAGTCAGAAGGAGGGAAGAAAAAGGAGACCCAATAGAACCAGGAAAGGAGAAGAAAGCCAGGAGGAAATCGAGCACAGAGACTGCTGTGAATTAAGAGTGTGTTTGCAGGCGGATGGGTGTGCTGGACAAAGAGAGGGTCCACAGGACAGAAGCCACGTGCACTGGTGAGGGTGGGCGAGGAGGGAGACGACCGTCAGCACAAAGGGAAAGGGGCCTGGGAGAGGACAACGCAAATGGAGGAAGTCAGGAAAGTGATCTTGGGTGCCAGACTCTGGTTCTAGGGACTCTGGTCCCACAGATTTAAATTCCATATCAATATAAGTCCAAATAGCTAACCTCTTATCACTCACCTCCCTTGCCTCTTGCATCATTTATATGACTTGCTTTTCAAAATGTACGAACATTGACTCACTTACCTCAAGTACCCTGGAAGCCTTCCTCACTGAACTAGTTTCTTGGGGAAAGAGTGTTTCCCAAAGAATGATTAATCTCTTCGCCGCCCCTCCCCCACCTTGGAAATGCCTTCCAAATTGGGAACAGTGGGATTTTCCTCAGGAAAAGCCAGGCCTGCACCATGTGTGGGTGGAGTCGTGGAGGAAAATGTCATAGCATTGTGAGAGAAGCTGGGGAAACATGAAAGCGACTTCCCAGAACTGCTCAGCACAGCCTTTCTTGTACACTCCCCGGAGCTGTGAGGGAAATCCTACACTCTAGTTCTACCCAGACTCACGCGCCCTCTACCTCCCACAGGTATGGTCTGCAAGGAAAGCCATCCAGTCACAGCAACATTCAGTCAGAGCAGCGTCCAGTCCTTTGCCTGAGCAAACAACACACACTCCCCTGGGCCAGAGGAGGGCAAAGTGGGGACATTTTCCTCCAGGATCATTTGCGGGCAATTACAAGCCTCTTTGAAATATGTGATTTTAACAGAGATATCTGCCCAAACCAGGCTAAATGACTGCTTTCCAGAGCTGAGGATATGCCAAGAAGAACCATTAGGAATTAGAATTATGCCAGCTTTTAAAAAAATATCCTTTAAAAGGCATGCCACAAGTAAAAATCCCCTTCAGCCTTAGCTTTGGCCTTAGTTACTCGCACAACCTTGCAAAAAAGATTAGCAACCTATGAGCTTGCTCAAAATGTCGACCAGCCCACTTTCCAAAATGCAATCACAAATCACATTCATTAAGGAATGAGTTTACAAAACCCCTCATGCCTCGCATGCACCTGGAGTGAGTTGCTATCTGCATATTTGGGTTAACGCCACATTCCCGGGGTCCTCTGTGAGGACAAGCTCCATGAAAGGATTTTTTGCCCTTACACACTGAGTTAAGGGCAGCTGTTGGCAGGCAGGAGGAGCAGCTGCCTCTGAGTACTTACACAGGATGCTGAGCCCGGCGGCTGTGCCCACGTTAGCTCTCCCCTCACCTCATGTACTCCCCATCACTCCTATAATCCATGAATGACTCTGATCCTGACACCTCCTCAAAATCCTCCAGCACCAGACTGGTGGAGTCCTCACCCAGGACGCCGCTGTCGGGCCTGGACGTCCTGGCCCAGGGAGGAGGTGCCGGAGGGTTGGTGGCTGCCGGCGAGGGAGAGCTGGGGGGTGTTTGCCGGACAGATGTGGGCCGGGCCTGAGGAGGGGACGCGGCTGGCTCCCGGACTTCCTCGTCATCCTTCTCCGACTCTGGTCCTGCCTCTGAAGCAGCAGGACCCAGGACATGGTAGAGGCTGGGGAGACGGATGTCAAAGCGCAGCCCGAACTTAGCAAAGAGCTTGTCGTTGAGCGCATAGAGCTTCTCTGAGATGTCATAGCCCAGCAGGGCCGAGAAGAGGCGAGAGAGGTATCGCTCTTTGGTCAGAAGAAGGTGGAGATTTTTCCGGGGCCAGGAAATGTAGCTACATTCAGTCTCAGCTGTCAGAGTGACCTGAAACGGGTCAGGAGCAGAGAGTGAAGGTTGAAACTAGAAAATGTGTCCATGGTTAGCACAGAGAAAGACACAGTTACTTGGCAAACAGCTGCACTGTTACTGAAGAAGCTGTGGAAGTCCCCCTCCGTGGAAGAGGAAGAGGTTCAATGAACACCTTACTGTGTGTGCTGATGGGGTTGAGGGGTGCTTGCTAGGAGCCCTGAGGTCAGCCATTCCCTCCCTGGGCCCTCACTTCCTGGAGCCTGTTTCCACCTCCAGCCTCCTCAGCTCTCATACTCTATGTCCCATGGCTAATTCGGAAGGTTCTGAGCTTCTTGTGATTTCAAGACAGAGAAGGGGCCTCCTAGTGCTCAGAAGAAAGGCCAGAATGCTGATGACAGTTTAAGGGAAAAAAGGGCTAATATATTGGAATAGGAACACAAAACATAATTGGAAAGAATTTCTGTTAGGGGAGAGCCTCTGGTTAAGTGTCCAGGCTGCATCAGGTGGACAGAACGCTGGCCGGGGATTTAGGCCCATGAGTTGCTCTTGACTTGGGCACTGCAGGTAACCAGGTGGATCCGATGGCTGCAGTCAGAAAAAGGGCAAAGAGGAAGAGGAACTCTTGTTTTTCTTACTAAGTTTTTCTTAATTGAGGTACAGTTGCTCTACAATATTATATAAGTTCCAGGCATACAACATAGTGATTCAGAACGTTTCAAAGTCATGCTCCAAAGAGGACCTCTTAAAGGCACAAAGTCAAAGGTTACTCCACTCCCCACTTATTTAGACATTAGGAATTTCTGGGCACTCACTACGTGCCCATGATGCAAAGCTAAATTACACCTGCAGGGTCAATAACACAGTAGGTGCTCGCTAAACCCTTGTTAAAACAATGGTGAGTGGTAAAGCTAGGGTTCAAATGAAAACATGCTTAAGACAGTAAAGGAAAAAGGTGTAGAATCACACAATTCTTTATACTCTGGCCATACTACTTTAAAAGTGAGCAGGTCAGCAGAGCTCATGATGCAGATGTGTGAATGGACACTGGCAATGAGGAGGAGGAGGAAGACAGCCACTAACATTTACTGAGAGGTGACCATATGCCAGGCATTGTGTTAAGTCCTTTATGTGGATTATCTCATTAAAGGTAGAGTTGGCTTTCCAAACATTCTTTAGTAGAGATTGTACATAATCCTTTTATTTCATTTTCCCAGATCTTCCCCTCTCCTCCCCTTCCCACCCCCGCAGTACCCCTCCTCCCTTCCCTTCATTCATTTCCTCCTCTCAGCTCCTCCCCATCCCCATAGTCATTAGCACTGAAGTCAGGGCTCTAGATTACCTCATCAAGACCAGAAGCTAGTTTCAAGTTCCAGTTTTACCCCTTTACCAGCTGTGTCACAGCAGACAAATTGCTTAATCTCTCTGGTCTTATGAGAAAGAATTCGGAAAGTGGTACTCACAATTCATCCATTACTAAGAGTTCAGCAGGTCGTTGCCACATTTGCCATAACCCATACTTCTGTCTTACTAAGAATGCTCAAACAAGAAAGCAGAGTACCCCTCATGAAGCAGGTGAGTGTAAGAGCTAATGTGGACACAAACAACTTCCTCAAGACTGAACACAAAGACTGGGGGCATTCTTATGGGCATGCTGTTACTTCTTCCATTTTAAAATAAATCAAAATTTTAAAATGAAAATCTTTTTTCTTCACTTCCTTGGCTAGCTATCACTCCATTGCTTTGCTCTCCTTTTCAGCAAAACTCCATGAAGAAGTTATCTATACCTGCTTTTATCAATTCCTCTCCTCACACTCTCTCTTCAACCAGCAAGGCTTTGCCCCATGGTCCACAAACTGCTCCTGGCAAGGTCAGCAATGACCTCCATGTTTCTGAGTCTGGTGGTCAGTTTTCACAGTGTCCAATCCCTCCTCTTTGACGCACTTTACTTGGTTCCCAGGATGCCACCCTCTCCTAGTATAATCTCCCGGTTTGTCCCTTTCAGCTTCCTTTGCTGCTTCTTGTTTTTCTCTCCAACTTCTAAATGCTAGAGTATCCCAGGTTTGGTGTGTTCTTGAACCTCTTCTCTGTCTACACTCATTCACTTGGTGATCTCATCCAGTCCAATGGATTTATATACCATCTGTATCCCAATGACTCCCAAACTTGTCTCAAGCTCAGGCCTTATTCCTTAATTCCAGACTCAAATATGCAACTGCCTATATGCATCTCCATATAAATATCCATTGACTACGCAGATCTAGTGTAGCCTAAGCGGGACTTCTCTCCTCCCCAGACCAGCGCTATCTGCAGCCTTCCTTTTTTCAGTCGATGGCAGCTTCATCCTTCCAGTCGCTGAGGCTGAGATTTTTTCTTAACCTTCTTTCTCTCACACTACATCCGAAGTGCTAGAAAATCCTTTTGGCTCTATATAGAAAATACGTACTCTGGCCCTTGATGATGTGTCCCCTCATCACCTCTCTGACTTCATCTCCTGCCATTCTCCCCGCTCCATCTCTCTGTTCCAGCCGCATTGGCCTCCTTTCTGTACCCCAAACATGCTAGTCCCTCCTACCACTCAGATTTTGCACTGGCTTTTCCCTCTATCTAATATGCTGTTCCCCCAAATGTTCTCAGAGTTTACACTGCCAACCCCCTCAGATCGTTGCTCAGATATCACGTGTTCAGCAAAGACTTCCATGACCATCCTATTTAAAGTTGCAACTACAGTTGATCCTTGAACAACATGGATTTCAACTGCATGGGTCCACTTAAATGCGGGTTTTTTAATAGTGAATACTAAAGTACTACACAATCGGCCAGTTGGTTGAATCCAAGGATGTGGAACCCTGGATTTGGGCAAATCATATATATGGAGGTTGGGACTATAAATTATACATGGATTTTCTACTGCACAGAGGTTGGCGCCCCTACCTCCCAAGTTGTTCGAGGGTCAACTGTATATCTCCCTTATGCCACTCTAGTTTTCTTTTATTAGAAGTTATTAACTTTTAACATATTACATAATTTACTTATTCATTATGTCTATGGCTTATTTTTTGTCTCCCCTACTAGAATATAAATTGCACGAAGGCAGGGACTTTCAGCTGTTCTGTTCACTGATATATTCCAAGTACCTTTAATAGTGCCCAGGATATAATAATGCTCAATAAATATTACTGAAATGAATGAATGAATCAGATGAAGGCTATCAATCTTGTATATTGCAAAGCAACCTGATGTCATTTTCTCACGTCCTGTATAAAATCCTTCCCAAAGGTCTTCGGGAAACCTGTGGATTGACTGGTTTCCACATATACACGCACACATGTGTAATAAAATTTTGACAAGCTTTTTCTTTAACTCTCACCTTTGAGGCTGGTTGAATGGATTAAATGAGATGATATATTTAAGAAGGGGATGCAAACTAGAGAAACAATATGATTTCTGTGTGATCCTTCCCAAGCTATGTTCTTGGTGACTGATGAGAAGGTCACAGTGTTTAACAGTCAATAAATATATCATTATTTAATTGAATTCTTGAGAGGTGTGATGGGATATTGACTCACTTGTGGTAAGTTCAATAAGAATTATGATTCATCTAGTCACTGTGGATTGCCCTGTTAGTCAATAAATAGACTGTGCAATTGCAAAAGGCAAGGACAAGATGAACTACAACCGAAAACAACACTTGACATTTGCAAAGAGGAAATGGGACTTTACAGAGCCAAGAGCAAATGTGTGGAACTCATTGCTCCCAAAGGAGATGCATGCTAAAAATATAGATGGGAAGAATATGATGGTCCCTACATTCAGGCTGAGAGGCCATCTGGGGTTACGGCCCTTCCTTTCAAGCATAACTTAGGGGAGGACACCCGGCTTATCCACCACCTGTTCCTTGGTGTCAGTGTCAGAAACAGCCTATTCCGGCTGGCTTAGGACCTGACTCAGCCCTCCTGAAGGTTCTTATGGCACTGGGGGAGCTCTCAAAGGAGACTGCTAGGCTGGTTGGTGAGGACATGAATGTGTGTGGTGGGGGAGGAATACATTGGGAGGGGGTCTGTGGCTGGTGGTTCTGGCAGTAGGATCAGGATTGCCCCTCAGGCTCTGTCCTCACAGAGCCAAGAGTCAGGGTGGTGCGGAAGCAGGCCCAGCCAGGTGGCACTGCCTGGCTTGTGTCTATTCTGAGGCTGGCTCGTATGCTTGCCTGAGGGACTCCCTGATAGAACTGGTAGGAGACACAGGGAACTCAGTACTGGCAACCTATCTGGACAGGGGAGCCCTTATAATGGTGTGTGTATGCAAACTTCACTCTCCTGGTAACCCTCCCATTTTAAAAAAGAATAGATGTAAAATTAAGTGAAGTAAGACAGAAAGAGAAAGAAAAATACCATATAATGTCACTTATATGTGGAATCTTAAAAAAATGACACTAATGAACTTATTTACAAAACAGAAACAGACTCACAGACGTAGAAAACAAACTTATGGTTACTGAGGAGGAAGAGAGGGTGGAAGGAAAAATTGAGAGTTTGGGGTTTGCAGATACTAACTACTGTATATAAAATAGACAAACAACAACGTCCTACTGTATAGCCCAGGGAATTATATTCAATACTTTGTAATGGCCTATAAGGAAAAAGACTATGAAAAGGAATATATATAAAAAACCTAATCACTATGCTGTACACCAGAAATCAACACAACATTATAAACCAACTATACTTCAATAAAATAAATAAATAAATAAAATCTAGTACATTAAAAAAGAAAAAGAAGAAGAATAAAAATAATGGAGCCAGGCAACTTAGCTCTGCCACTTTCTAGATGAAGACCTTGGACAAATTACTTGAGGTTCTGAGCCTTACTTTCCTCACCTGTTCAACAGGTTAATAACAATATCCAGCCCAGAGGGTTGTTGGGAGAATCAATAATGCAATGAAATAGGTTGTATCTGCCACATGCTAGCCATTCAGTAAGTGAGGACTACAGAGAAGGCCATCAAAATCTGAAGGATTGGCAGAGAAGAGAGGAGGGCTCTCAGGCAGCCAGACCCTGCCCTTGGAGCGTGTATGTGAGCGCCCTAGGAAGCCCTCTGAGACACCCAACGCCTGCTGCCAAGCCAGTTCAGCCAACCTTTACTGAACATCTACTACTGTGTTCAAGGTACTGCCCTTGGAGCCGGGCGATGGAGAGAAGCAGCCCAGGTTTCTACCTCAAAGAGTTTACTAGAAAGGAAACCAGATCGTTAGAAGAGAGGGCAATATGTGTGCAGTCAGAGTAGTGAAAGGAATAGGAAAGTCCTGCAGGCAGCGAGTGGAGGTGGAAGCTGGTGACAGCAGCCTGGGCAGGCCTCAGAGGAAGTGAGATGCCATAGCCTCATCTGGATGAGGGAAATGCGTTTCAGATAGAAGCCAAGGCATGGCCATTGCAGAGCAATGTGGTGTGTTTAGGGAAGTACTAGAAGTTCAGCATGGCTGGTATGAGCAGGAAGTATGAGGAAGGAAGGGGCTGGAGATGTGGCTGGATGTCACTAAAGGTCTTAAGTTGCTCTCTAAGGAGCATGGGTTGTTATCTTGTGATCACTGGGGTCTTCGGAAAGAGTTTTAGGCACAAGAGTGACATGGCCCACTTTTCAGGGATCAGCATCACCCCACCCAGGTATTCTTCCCATGGAAGGAGAATGCTCCCACCTCAGGCATCATATGGGCATTGGCTCAAAGGATAGATAGAAGAGGGGGAATATGGAGGGGGAGCTATCGCCGAGTTACAGTAGGATGGGCTGGCTGCGCTGCCATGGGGCTCCCTATTACCTGAAAGACCCCCTCCTCAGAGGGGTGCAGCGATTCCCACTCAGGAGAGTCCATGAACTGGTAAGGAAAGATGTAGTGCAGAAACTGCCCGTCCTGGCTCACACGAACCCTGGCAAAGGGAGAGAAGAGACTGTGTGGGAAAAGGGAAGTGGTACCCAAATCCTCTTCGGAGTCTAAATCGCATGTTAAAAAAAATGGAAAATGATTGGGATTCAGTATGAGTGTTTTCCTCTTTTCCCCAGAAAACTCAGAGTCTCAGCTTCAACCTCTCTTCTAACGTCAGTTATATCAGGAAAGAAAGTGTCTCTATCAGGAAAAGGGGGCAAATAAAAAGATTTCTAAAGTATATCCTGTCCATTTGGAAGGAGCTATCATTCCATTTTTTTTCTGGAGCTTTATTGGCTAAACAAATATACATGGAGCACCTGCTGTTTTCCTGGAAGTCTAGGTATGGAGAGATGATCTGATCCTTGCCCTTAAGGATTTCACAATTTAGTGGAAGGCACAGGCACACAAACAACTGGCTGTAAGTCATTGTGTGGGACTGGAGACTAGAGAAGGGAGAGAGGATGGCTCTCTTTGAGTGGAAGACTTCTCAAAGATGACATTTGAGCTGAATTTTAAAGGATGAGTAAGATAGTGAGAGAAGTAGATCAGGATGGGGATAAATGGAGAGCTGGGAACAGTATGGAATTCTGTTCTCCAATATCTGCTTTTTCCCTTCCTCCATACTGGAATTCTAGCTGAGTTCATGCCTGCCCAGCTAGACTACATTTCCGAGCCTCCCTTGCAGCTAAGTATAACCTTGTGATTAAATTCTGGCCAAGGGGATATTAGCACTCCACATCTTGCTCCTAGTGAATGCCTAGATATATATGTATGCATGGAATTACCAAAGACCACCACCAGTTAATAAGCTATTGTGTATTATCTGACAACCTAAAGGTGGAAGACAGAAAGGATATAGGCCTCAAACCAAGCCAAGGATGTGGTGTCAACCCCTATTCTCTGATGGCAGAAACACACTTGTTCCTACAAGACCTGCTAATGTATGAAGCTAGCTAGCAGAATTTCCCTGAGTAATGAAAGGATACAAGAGAAAACGAAGTGCCATGCTCTCCTACCTCACAATCTTCACATATTCTGTCCACTCCTGCTGGCCCTCTTCCCAATCCCCACCTTCTCTTCAGGTCTCAGCTTAAACATTCCTTCCTCCAGGAAGTCTTATCTGTTACATGCTGTCATTGCACTTGGCCTTTCTCCTTGGAAATCCCATGTCTGTTATTCACCACTATGTCAAACATGCACTGGTGACTCTCTTGTTAGACTGTAAGCGCCACAAGTACAAGGACAACAGTTTCATATTTTAAAACTGAGAGGAAGGAAGGGAGAAAGGAAAGGAAGAAGGAAGGGACCATCAAATAAACGAACTCACTGTGTCACCATGAAGGGGATGAAAACCTCAAGGAAAAGCTTCTCTAACAAAGGAAGACAGACAACAGGAGAGAATGAGGCTGCTGCTTGCCCACACGTGCACACATTGAATCCTCCCATCATCTCCTCAAGCAAGGAATCTGGCCACCCAAGCAAGCCACTGAGGATGGACAATGTTTTAGAGAATGAGTAACATCTAATGAGCCTGCATGGCCCCCTGAAGCACCTTGTAACCATATTCTTTATCTTTCCAGTCTCTACTTCCTTCTTGATCTCATGGACAACAGGTAATTTGCGCGTGGGAATTCATGCTTTGGATTTTATATGAGAGAAACTCTCCAACAGTAAGCACAGCTTAATAGGGTGATAAACTTGGAGGAAGTCGCTTTGCCTTTCTGAGTCTTGAAAGGGACTGATTGCCTTTATGAAAATAAAACAAAAAGGACTTAAGGATGTCTAGGTTTCAGTAAAGGGCTCCAGATGAGAGTCTGTATGTGAGCCTGGGAGGTCTCCACAAAATGCCCCCACTTCCTGGCATGAAGTTCTTATCTGTTGCTTCCAGATGTTTGGTACCTCACTATAACTGGTCAAAGGTACAATGATTCTCCTCTGGAGCCAGAGCCTGGTCATAGACTAGAAGCCTCTTCCCCCAGCTCCAACTTAGTGAAGTTGAGAAACTTGACAATGAAAAAGATATTTAAACAAAATTCTTACTCCAAACCTTGAAACGCAAGAAAAAAAAATCAATGTCTAATTTTTGACTTGTAGTTTTGATGCAAAGTATACTAGGAAAAGCCACACTGCACAGACAAGCCCCCTTCTCCTCTTCACAGGGACTTGGTCTTCTACAAGTTCATGGTAAATCCATCATATAAAGGATACCTGAACCGTGCAATAATCATGATATACTTCCATAAATGAGCACCATACTGTGCAATGTTTCTTCCTCCAGTCTCAAGCCCCTCCTTTGAACGGAGGAGCTGTTAGGAGCAAACAACATCATGGATCTCATTGAATGAGCATATTTCCTAAATTGTCTTTATTTTAAGCATGGAGCTGTAGGTGGCAAACATTTTGGCACTATTCATAATGTATTTGTATTTACACATGTATTTGCTTACAAATAATTGCATTTGTTTGCACTTCGACTCACTCATAAATGAAATGAAAGGTCTCCCCACAAAACTTCATAGCTCATTCAACCCAGGACCTCAGAGTCCAAACAAAATAAAAACATGTATACATCACACTTTTGATTCCATGTGTTAATACCTAAATGCATACCATTACTAGCAGTAGCAGTAGCAATATTTGTAGTGCCGTCATCATCAATATCAAACTGTTTTTTTCCTACTGTGTGGCTGGCAGTCTTATCTGGTTTCTTTTTTCTTTCTTTCTTTTTTTTTTTTTGTCTTGGAGTCTGAGCCTTCTGATTACTATCTTATCTTTCTATCACCTTCTCCTGGTCATAAAAAAGCAGAAAAGAGGAAATTAAGTACAAAGCTTTTGAAATACTCTGCTGCTTTCCAGAGAGCCAGCCCAAGTATGCCAGGCTAAGATACTTACTGTCTGATGTTCAGCTTCACATATAAGTCCCACGAGGGCAATATTTCAAAGAATTCACAATTGCCTACCAAATGCATACCATAGAGCCCCATGGTATTTTTTCAGAAGAGATCAGCCAATGGCCAACAGTCACATGCAGCCTGACCAGGCATACGCTAATTCTGATGAAGACCATTTTTGCTAATGTCTTTCAGCCTCCTAAAAAGTGTCAGCCAGGTATCCCCACCATATCCTTAAAGAGGTACACGTGGGCATCACTATTCTTCCCTCACTGTCTGGCCCTCAGATTTATAGCACTTGACTCCTTGATCTGCTAGATAGGAATGGACAAGTGCACAAGGGATAGCTCCACAGCTGGGTGTATACAGAACAGCTTTACTATAGAGTCTGCATAGGATATTCTCCAATATATTTGATACCCTAGTGGAAACATGGGTTACAAAAAAAACCCTTCTGTTTTGGCACTGTTCCCTGGCACATAGTTGTCACTTACCAAATGTTGAATGCATAAAGAAGGAACAAATTAATCTTATTGAAATGTTCAGTTTTCCAAAGCCTACAGAGATATTGCCGCAGCCTAGGTATGACGCACTGGTGCGCACGCGCGTGTTTGTGTGTGTGTGCGTGTGGTGTGTGGTCATCTCAGACCCAGGCTCAAGAAACACTCACCCCACCCCACCCCTCTTAGCGGCGAGTGCACACCAAATCCTTCCTGCCAACCAAGATGCTGCTTGAGCTAGTTTTCGCATGGAAAATGCTAAGAAAGGGAAAGCAAGCTCATGCTTAGAAAAATCTATTTTGGTCTGACTGGCCACATCCTTCCTCAGTGGAAAGAGACGTAAAATGGAAAGGCCTGCAGTGGGAAGTGAGAAGTGTCGGTGTAGGGAAGAAATGCTGGGCTGGGACAGAGTGGCTTACCGGCCAGAGAGCAGCAGGGACAGGCGGTTAATGGGTGTCTCGCCCTCCACGGCGTAGGTCTCCTCCGTGGCCAGGGTCAAGACCTTCCCCTCACAGCAGCGCACCACCTCCCGGTACGCCGGCAGGGGCACCTGCAGGGGCAGGCACAGCGTCTTGTAGAGGAGCTCGAACTCCTCGGGGAGGGCGTCCTCGCGCAGGCGGTACAGCAGGTGGGCCAGCTGGAGCACACAGGCCACGGCCAGCAGGACGCTCCACAGCACGACGTCCAGGCCGCAGGCACCGAACCAGCCCCACAGCACACAGCACAGGTAGCCCGTGCCCAGGAAGCCAAAGAGGTAGAAGCACCCGTACACCCCACTGCCCCCCATGAAGCCCAGGAGCAAGAAGCAGTGGGCCAGGTGGTAGACAGCCCCTTCCAGATCCGGCCTCCAGCCGACACACAGCGACCCGGGCTGCGGGAGCTGGCCCACTGCACTGCCGTTACTGCTCATCTTCCCAGCGCCTCAAAGCCTGGTCGGCTCTGAGACTGTCCCCACGTGGGAAATTCAGAAAATGAATGCACCGTCCTCCCAGATGTCTTCTCACCTCCGGCTTCTCTCGTCCTGCTCCACCCTTCCTGGGAGGAATGCTGCCGGGAGCTGTGGGAATGAATGGCAGAACATAGTCCACTTCGTGGAGAACTGAAAAGCTTATTTTCCTCTCTCTTTGCTTTAGCAAGGCTCTGGCCCTCCCCGCAGAGCTCTGGCGAGCTTCCTCGGCTCCAGATTTCTTAGGACAGTCCACATTTGGCTCTGGGCAGGACACCTAAATTGTCCCAAGGAAAAGCCAGGACTCTGGGGCTGAAAACTTCAGCAGCGAAGGATAATCAAGTGGCCACATCCTGCTCTCTGTTGTCCCCAAACAGAATGAAGAGAGTCCAGCACGGGAGGCACAGTTGTGCTCCATTTGGAATGCGTCTCTCTTGGCACCGGAAGAAAGGGTGACCCCAGACGGATACCATGTTTGGAATTGGAATCCAAGAGGTACTGGCAGTGAGGAAAAGCAGGCCAGGCAAACAGGCAGGCTGGCAGAGCACTTAACATACCTCCCCAGAGGACAAGATAAGACCTGGCGCAGAAAGACAGGCAGGGCGGGAGGCTGAGGGGGTGGACGAAGGAAAAGTGAGCACAGAATTTACCAGCATACCTTGAGCAGGACACTGTCCAGACCCCCTGGTGGGGATGGCCGGGGGCTCTCCTGAGGTAGGAGGACACATCAAGGTAGGAAAGTATGGGACTGTTAGAAGAAAAAATCCTAACAATGAGAATTGGAAAACCCCTTGAAGGCCTTTATGAAGTCACTGGAAATATCAGTAGGCATTTACTTGACCTCCATTAAAGAAAAATCGCTATGAAAAGCAGCTTTTTGAATTCTGACTTTCTTCTACATGTATCTGGATCTAGTAATAGTTAATACCTTACTCAGACCATCATCCTACCCACCCTAGTATTTGCAAATTATAATAACCATCACCTATTAAACACTATGAAGTACCAGGCCTACATTAGGGACTTTACACACATATGACTTAGTTATCACATAGCCCTTCCAAATAAATATTATCATCCTGATAGGTCTGAAAGAAACTGAGGTTTAGAGAGGTAGCAAGTTCCCACAGGTTTACGGTAAGTGGAAGAGGCAGGATTTGTTTCCAAGTCTATCAGATTTACTGCTGTGTCCCAAGTAGTTTGCAGAGTAAGTAGAAATACAAGGCTGGATCCATGACTCCCAACCCCACACTTCCCCCAGGAAGTCTGATGACGTCCCGGAACTTCTGGATGAAACCGGGGTCTCCCTCGGGTCACCAAGAAATAAATCTGGAATATGCAGACACTAAACTAAGAAATGTCCCTCTGGCTTCCAAATGACTCCTTAATTTTTTTCCTTCCTGCTGGCTGGGAGGTACAAGCTATCATTACTTCTACAGCCCCTGAGGTATGAGCTGGTGGGAGGCGGGCACCCAGTAACCGTCAGAACTGTTCAAGTGCTCAATCCATAGGGACCTTTATTGTACTGCTGGTAAGCTAAATAGCATTAGTGAGAAATTAGGACTTGTCAAATATTCTGAGGAGCAGGAGTTTTCAATTCAGTACATATTGAGTGGCTACTATGAGCCAAGCGCTTACAGAATCAAAGATTCCCAAGAGCTTTCACTCTATCAGGGGAAAGGTGTGGGAAGCACGGTACTTGAGTTAGGTTTAAGGAGAGGTGGCAGCCTAGAAGGAAGGGGGCATCGAGGAAGGAAGATGCAAGAGCTAACGTGAGACCTGAGGTGTAAGGGCTGAATTAGCCAAGTAGGTAGAGGGAGAAGAGCCTTTCCAGTGGTGAGAATGGCAGAAGCACATGCACGGAGGTGTGAAAATGTATGGCATGTTGAAAGAAGCTACTATTTCTTTCTTATTTACTTACAATCACCTGACCAACAAATGTGCATCTTATTCTCTTCTTTCTAAAATTGAAGAGGAAAAATCAACAGTAAAGGAAAAGAGCTAGAGAGGGCCTGGAGGACCTCCCCTCTTCTCCACAACAGCAATTTGAATCAGTGACGACATTTCAGCAGTGGACTTCGGGGATTTCCACGTGCTGCTTTTACATCACCTGCCTGCCTCCCCATCCACTTTAGCAGGCAGCAGCTGCTCATCCCTCCACCTTAGTCATGCACCCCCTGAGCTGTCAGAGGCTGTCCCTGCCAGCTGTGAGCAAGGAAATCAGAAGCACAGGAACCAAGAAGCAACCAAGGCTCTGCCCAAGATAGAATTTCAAAGCAGGTCATCTTTCTCAGCAAGCCTGGCCAGTGGGCTGGCCCTGACCCCTTAAAGAGACAGGCAGGCCCACTGAGTGTTGTTCTCAGCCTGCCTTCTTTGTCAGTCCACATATGTGCTTGTCGGAGCAGCAAGTACTAACATTTATCAAGCAGTTATTGTTTCTGCATATCTTCCCATGATACCTTTTTTTTTTAATAGAAGAAACAAGCTCAGAGAGGTGAAGGAACTTCCCCAAGGCAACAGAGCTAGTATGTGAATAGGGGCTAAAGCTTAGGTGATGGTGACTCTCGACTGTGTGTTCTCCGCGCTGCGCCGCCTTGCTAGGCACCTTGGGGAGTTTACACATGTCCATATGCAGGCGCATTCACTGCTACAGGAGACTTGCGTATGCTGTTGGGTAGCATTATAGGTGCACAAACCCCTCATGCTACTTGCAGTGACAGTGACATTGATGCCTGTGGGATAGGACCTTGGGTGGGAATACAGCAATGGAAAGTTGTGTCTTGTTTGTTTTTAAAACCAGTTTGGATAGAAGAGGAAAGAAAAATGTGTGTGTCAAAATGGTATGTTCTTGTAAGAAAAGCCACAAATATGCAGGCAGAAGCCCAGTAGAAAGTATTTGTGCAGAATAAAAGGAAAGACACAGAAGTCCCATCATTTGTTGAGTTGATTCAATTCAATAAGCATCTATATAGGGCAAAGAAAGTGTGCCAGGAACAGGGGATATGAAGATGAGCAAGAATTATCTATCACCTTCAAGGAACTTTTGGTCTTGTGAGGGAGGCTGACGCAGAATGAACTACAACCCAAAAAAACAACTATACTTATTGGGCAGGTGACCAATAAGACATAAGAGGATGTGTGTGTGTGAGCTTCTGGGAAAAGTATACTCCCTGGTAGAAATGGCAAGGAGGCCTGCTCCCTTTCATCCTGGCTTGAATACAGTTGTGTGATGGTGTAATGTTGAAGCTACCAGAGCCATGAGATATGATGGGGTTTAAAGGAAGCACTGATGGGGGAGCAAAGAATTCAGGAAAACATCACAGGGAAGGTGACATTTAAGCTGGTCTAAAAAGATGAGTAGGTGTTCCCCAGCTAGGGGAGGGCATTCCAAGAAGCGAGAACAAAATGTGAAGTCAAATCCAGAAGTAAAACAAAAATACATGGCATACGCTGGTAACAGAGAACAAGTTGTAGGTGAAGCAAAAGGAGCAGCAGGGCATGAGGCAGGAGAGGCCAGCTGGGGTCAGATTGTGAAGTCAGCCAGCTAAACTGTCCTGGACCACAGCTGCTCTGAGAGCTGTTACTGGTCCATAATGAGATATGGACAGAAATTGAGAGAACATAGATATTTTTATACAATTTGGCAGAGAAACTTATGGCCTTTGAATTTAATGAAACTATGGGCTTGGACAGTGTATGGTGGGTTTTTCTAGAGTATATTTTTTTAAATTTCATTTTCCTAGTATTAGTCTGTACATTGGAAAAAATTAAAGTGATTATTCACCACATGTAGTTTGAGAAACACTTTCCTAATAGAGTTATTAAAATAGAACAGAGACATGATTCTAGGCTTTGGAAACGTACCTCCAAGCTGACCTTAGGCAGACACTGCTGATTCCTTATCCTATAGCCATTTCTCCCCTTTCCCCAGTTTATGGAACTCTGATTTTGCTTGGGCACTATGTAAAGGAGGGTGGGCTTCTCTCCCAGTTGCCAGGGCCTGAAATAAGACTGGTCAAGGCCAAGCATGATATCTTATTCTCCTCGATGGCAGTGGGTTTAAGAATGGGCATGTGACCAATGAGACATACGAGGATGTGTGTTGGGGAGCACCTGGGGAAAAGTATTCTCCCCGACAGAGATGGTAAGGAGGCCTGCTACGTTTCATCTTGGCTTAAATATAGTTATGTGACGATGTAGTGCTTGAAGTTACCACAGCTGTGAGGTAGAACAGGCCTAAGGATGAGAAGGGTAAAGAACAGAAAAATAGAACAAGCCCTGGTACTCGAAAGTATCACTGAGCCATTGTTTCAAACCTGGGACGTCCAACCTCCAGGCTTTACGACAGGAAATAAATTACATTTATTGCTTAAGCCACTGTAGTTGGGTATTCTGATATTTGCAGCTGAATGCATTCAGATTCAGGTCTCCTTAAGGACTACTCTCCAGCAAACAGTTCTCTGAACATCTGCCGATTGTGTTAGTCTATGAAAACTGAACACTAGACAACTTGTTGTTTTACCAGTAATTTTCTCGCAAAAGTCTGAGTAAACTGAGAGGACTGCTCCTCTAAACTCAGCTTGACCATTCAGGATGACTTTGTTCTTAAGTGAACAAGATGATTTAGTGCTAAGTTGGCCGTCTACCCAATATCCATTTACCATTTACCTCTTCCTCCTTGTAACGGAATTCCAGTTTTGTTCTGATATCTAACCTACACATGGATCCAAGGAGGAATCCTGTTTAAGCCAATCAGAATAAGGTACTCTGCTGGCAATTATTGTTCCATAAAAATACACATAATCTAATTTGGCTCAATCAGACTAAAAAAAAAAGTAGTGGAGGAAACTTCATGCCTTAGGAATGGTTTCTCTCTCTTCTGCTGAACTTGAACAAGAGAGCCTATGATTGGCTTCATCAGTCCTGGAAGAGAGCTCTGACATGGAAATAACTTGAGTCTTGGATGGCATCACTGAGCCTCTGCTTTCACTGCATCTAGAGCTTGCCCTGACCCTGGACTTCCAGTTATGTGTTTCCCTTGATGAGGAGTTTGTAGTACTTAGCTGTCAAAAGCACCATAATCAACCCAGATGGAACTACCATCTAGCAGTATTTAATAGCTAAAGGAGGAAACACTGGGTATAGTCATATATGCAGTCTTTTCAGGAAAACATCTTGGCATCTTCATCATAGCACTGAATATTCAACTTTACATTTTCATAGTTTATACACATATATCCACCAGAAAATAAGATCTTTGAGAGGGTCCATGTCTTACTTATCTTTGTTCATTCCTTAGCACATAGTAGGCATTTACTATATGTCCTCAGTAAATGTTGGGTCAAACAGCCTCTCATCTCAAGGACAGGGTGCATGTCTGATTCACACATGAATACTCAATACTTATGGCAGATCCTTGCACTTAAT